TGAATCAACTATCAGCATAGAGGGTATCTCAAACCTCCCAACTAGATCTCCTTCATCTTAAAGGGTAATTGATCACCTCAGGAATAGAGAAACACTGAGATAATCAATATACAAAAAATAGAAACTAAACAACCATGCAAAAAAAGTAATCAGATGCAAAGACACAAGATTTACGTGGGTCGACAATAGTCTACATCCACAAGGTCAACTATCAGCATAGAGGGTATCTCAAACCTCCCAACTAGATCTCCTTCATCTTAAAGGGTAATTGATCACCTCAGGAATAGAGAAACACTGAGATAATCAATATACAAAAAATAGAAACTAAACAACCATGCAAAAAAAGTAATCAGATGCAAAGACACAAGATTTACGTGGGTCGACAATAGTCTACATCCACAAGGAGAGTTTTGAGTATTCTTTATCCTCATATATTACAAAGATTTGATCTTTCCAGCATTCCTCAAGGAATCCACAAGAAATCATCTCGATCTCAACTAAATATCCTCACAAATCCTTCTCTACAACTCCTTTACAATATACAACTCTCTTTTCTTAAGGCTAAATTATCAGATTGGTATTTTACTTGACCATATTTTCCAATGCGATATTTATTACTGCTTCGACATCAATATGATATTTTAACTTGGCCTTTTTAGCAATAAGATCCTTTTTCTCCCCGGTGGTGAGAATTGTGATGAATTATATAGTGCACTTGCATTGTATGTGGACATAATTGTCTCAAATGTACTAAATCATTTGTTTCACTAAAATAAAGTTCCTACATAAGTACTCTAAAGTGGAATCCATCAGACTTGCAGGACAATATATTGCAAGGGTCAGCATTCATTGGTTGATCTTGCCTTTTTTATGGCAATCTTGGAGAAACTTTCTTCCCTCCTATGTAGCTTAATATTGAAAACAGTGGATGGTAGCCAGATGTGTCACCTCAATTGAAGTTATGTCCAACCAATTACTCCACAACGTAACTTTTGAAGTGAAGGCTCAACAAATCTCCCTTTGCCTAAACAAGGCCTAAAATCTTCTCCCTCAACAACAGTTTCAACACTACTCTAGCCAAACATAATTGAGGAGATCTAACCTCTTAATTTACTCTTTTTCAGTGGGGTGAATTAGTCGTGTCTATAGAAAAAATTGGAAGGAGAACTCATTGATTAGTAATTGTAAAACTATAACCCTCAACGCTTACCGCAACTTTGATGTTTTGGTACAGTGGCGGGGCCTTTTGACATGGCATCAGAGCAACCCAGATTTGAATTTAACTAGACATGAATTTATAAAATAGATTTAGAAAAAAGTGTTAGTGTCGGGTGTAGACACAAACCGTCAAGCGAGCTCGAGGTGACTTCAGGCGAGGGCAGGCGAGCTTCAGGCGAGGTCGACAGCGAGCTCGAGGCGAGCTTCAGGAGAGCTCGTGGTGGGCGAGTTCTACAGGCGAGGTCGTGGCTTCAGGCAAGGTCGAGCTCGAAGTCCAGGCGAGATCTGCAGGCGAGGTCGAGCTCGAGCAGGCGAGCTCGAGCGTTGTGCAGGTGAGCTCAAACGCTGTGCAGGCGAGCTTGGGTCGATGTGGGCGAGCTCCACTCAGGCGATGGTGCACATAATGATGTTATACGCCCTATTCTTTTAATCTAAGAAGCTCGAGGGAGATGAAAATGAGATTCCATCCAGCCTCTCTCTCTCTCTCTCTCTCTCTCTCTCTCTCTCTCTCTCTACCCCCCTCTTCTTTTTCTTCCTGCTCTCAGAGATTTTGAGAAGGGGGATTTGATTTAAGAAGGAGAATCTTCTTAAGAAGGAGATTTAAGAGAGGGATTAAGAGAGAGAATTGTTCACTGTAGCTGCAATAACAATTTGTATTTATTGAGAGATCTCAAGTTTGAGATCTTTTCTTGCATTGTAATTTTTTTGATTAATAAGAAATTAATTGTGTGGCTCCCGAGGACGTAGGTAAGTTTGCCGAACCTCGTAATTATTGGTGTATTTTTCTCTATACTGCGTTTCTTGCTGTTTTAGGGGTTTAGCGTAGCCCCGGGTTTATTCCCAACAAAAAAGATTCCTTTCATCAGTGAATCGAGGTTTCAACCATGCAAGGGCCCTCAACCTGTAGGGCCAATTAAACAATAACTTTCATCATAATTTTAGGGTTTTAGTATAGTGATAGGGGTCATTGGTAGTAATTAATTAAATCTGTAAACTTCTAAATATTCATAAAAAAATTATGAGGTTTCATTGTGAATCGAAAATTAAGAACCCAGGACACATGTAGTGACTTGGATTAAAGCTGTTAAATCTTAGAACTTGTAGAAATGGAACCAAATATAATTAACCTCTTTGAGGAAAA